CCTTCCTTCGTCCGACGTATCCTCGACGTGTCGCGACAACGCGACACGGTCGCCTCCAGGACTCGCTCGAATCACCACTCTATCTCTCTCTCTCTCTCTCTCTTTTTTCTCTGTTCTCGTTCAGGCGAAATGATGTTTTCGCTGCTGTGGTATTACCGGCCCGAGCACACGGAACAGGGTCGGACGGAGTACGACACCGAGGACGAGGTGTTTGCTTCGCGTCATCGAGATGCAAACAGTGTCGCTTGCATAGAAGACAAATGTTATGTCCTAACGTTTAACGAGTACTGTCGGTGAGTAGAGATCCATCGTGGCGATGGACTTTCATTACATGTTTCCACGCTTCCCGCATTTCCCGAGCATTGAGTAAATTCGTAGGAAAATATCTCAGCGTATCCTCGCGAATATCGCGCCGGTGGTGGGAAATTTGCCGCACGATCGTCGATCCGCGTTAGGATCGACGAGGAACTTTCTTTTCTCTCTCCCTCTCTTTCTATCTCGCGAGCAGACCGGCCTACTCATCCACCTAGTCGCGTCCGTCTTTTGTGATTGCAGATATCGTAAGAATTTACGGAGGATCGAGGAAGGTTTAGAGAGTCCTGGCTTGATAGTTCCGCCAGGGGACCAAGTGTATCCGAGGGAGGGTCGGCAGCCTCCTATAACGGCATCGTCGGACGTGGTGCTGTTCTGCCGACGTGTCTACGACTACCGCGGGAAGAAGCTCATGAAGAACCCCGGATGACTCGACTTCCTGTAAGATGCCTCGAATAGGAACCAACGGGATGACGCGCTACGTTCCGAGAACATATTCATTGCGAAAACTGGCCGCCAGCTCCCCCCTTCAGGCGTGCGATCGCGTCGCTGTTGATCGATTTGTCTTGATTTCGAAGGGGCAACGAGATCCGATCGTTCTCGGGGCGCTCCGAGTTCCGCGGCGGCTCATCCAGCCGCCTCCGCTCTTCTCCGTTTCTCCCCGCGGACCTTATCGATATTCGCAAGAGAGAGAGAGAGAGAGAGAGCGAACGAGCGAGCGGTACTTCCGGTGTCGCTCGACGAGAAGGTGGAGAAGGTGGACGCACGGAGTCGGAACGGCCCGATCGCCGATCGGATCTCCTTCTCACCTCACCAAACGCGTAGATAGATCCTTAGAAGAGGACGTCGCGTCGGCGAAGATTCGCGGAAAAGGGAGACGAAAAGGAAAGACCGAATGGTAGGAGGAAATAAGAAAAGAGAGAGAGAGAGAGAGGGAAGAACGGCACGTCGTATACAATTATGTATCGCGTATACATATATACATATATATATTTATATTCGTAAGGCTAAAAATACCCCTATCGCCGCTTATATTAATCCGTCTTTTTATCCTGCTCGTCTGCGATATTACCGACAGAAATCATGATGAATCGTTCATTAATTCTGGTGATAAGACCGTCGCGTTGCAGCGTCCGGACTCGCGTCCGCGGAGAGAGAGAGAGAGAGAGAGAGAGAGAGAGAGAGCCGAGCGAGAGACGGGCCACGCGTCTCACCCAGAGAGATCACGCACTAGTCCCGACGATCGCGAAAATACTTCCTCCTCCCTGTACGTTCCTTCCCTCCTCCCCCCGTGTCTCGGTGCCAAGGAGGGCCCGCAGGGCCGATCACACACGCGCCGCATGTTCCTCTCTCGCGGCCGGGCTCTCTTCCTTCGACTCCGCTTTCACTCCCGAGCGTTGTCTCTCCGGCGACGCGAGTCCGCGACGTCCGCGGGCAGCGCGGGTCGCGTCGATAACGTGTAAGCTGTTTCTAGGGGGCGAGTTAGCGGGATTTGACAATTTTATAGAGAGAATCATATTTTTTGTGAGATAGAGAGCATTTACAACAATACACTTAAATGGATATTTTTCACATAGGAGGTACAAATGCGCGCGGCGGTTAAAACGCGCGCGCGAGAGCGCGTGTCGCGCGCGGCGCCTGCGGGAACGGGGGAGCCCCGCGGTCAGTTACATCGGCGAACCGATAGGAATCAAAAGCAGCGGCAGATCGAACCCACTCGACCATTTTAGTAGCGCGAATAGCGAGCGTAAGTGTTGTACTAAGTCCGATCGGGCTGTGTCCCGCGTGCGCCGCCCGATGCGAGGGGGCGACGAGACATCCAAGCGTGTGCGACATCATTGTTAGGCACTTCCATTTGAATCCCCGTGGAAAATATATCCCGTGTTTCGCATCTATCTGCCGGGCGAGAGGGGAAGGGGGAGGGGCGTTCTCCCCCGTCGGAGACCCGACGCGCATACGTCATCTTCATGAGCGTTAGAGATCATCGCGACGGTGAGAAATGCAATTTTTACGGCCGGTGCCGAAGAGGGCACGCGAAACGCACGGAGGTTGGAAGTGGCTCGATTCTACCCTCTCGGGCTTTGCGATCGAGACTCGCTCGGAGGGACATCGAGCGTATCGATACTGTGCAAGATTTTTTACGATTTTTACCCTTACGATGGAATTTTTTTTTTCTTCTTTTTATGAATTTTGCGCCGGCTCACTCTGTGAGTGAGACTTTGTGAGATCGAGTTTACCGTGTTTACATTGACAAACGATATATCGTGTTCTACTGACTGTCAAGTTTCGCGATCCGCTACGAACGCATGCATGATTCGATCGTTTCACGCGCTCTGATCGATGCATATCTGTGTTGATTTGTATCCGGATGTACGAACGTTCGAGACCCTCGGAGCGTTGAAAGGGGAAGAATGGCGCCATTTCTAATTGGCACGCTACGCAAGGAGACATTGTTTGTTCGTTTTTGAATGTACAATGATAAGGGGTCCTTCCGAGAGGAATTCAGAAGACACGCAGACATCGTCGGGAACCTTTGTGTTTTCGGACCCGTCACGCACCGCGAGTCCCTTCTAAGTATAGATTCGACAATTTTTTCCCCCTTTTTTTCTTTCTTACGATTATTCCTCCGATTTGGATCACGATCTCTCTGATCCGTAACGAGAAAGCAAAGTGTAACTGTATATTATCTTTATGACTTTTCTTATATATATATATATATATATCTATATATATATATATATATATATATATATAGGCATACGTGTATCATTTCGAGTCACACAGAGCACTATTGCTGTATCAAGAACACGTGACGCGAGAAGCTTAACCCTTGACTTCCACGCGGGCCGACGATCTCAACCGAGTTCGCTTGCGAGTTGAGTGCGTTTCTGAAGGAAGGAGAAAATAGGACGCAACGAAAATTCTGTTATTCGGAGAGAACGCGACGGGAGAGACGAATGTGCGTGAAAGAGAGATGACGTAGTTTTTGCGCTCGCCGATTGGAGGGGAAAGCCAAGCTCGAAAGTTCCGTAATAGGCGAGAGAGTGATCCACGTTAACGTATGTAAGATAAGATGTTAAAGGCCACGTCCGCGGTTTGAGGGTTAATCCTCTCACGCGAATCACATCATCGCGAGTTTACGAAAATTCACGAGGTCATCGGCGAGGTCATGACGACGGGACTTCGGGACGCAGTTATTTCTGTGGAAATTTCGAGTAAACGTTAATACTTGTTGAGTGGCGGGTGTGTTTTGTTAGAAACCATATTATTTAAAATTAATATATTGATGATATAGGATTATTATTTAATATCTAATATATTGGACGTATAGATGTTATACATAAGTTATTTTCCGCGAGAGAAAGGGAGAGCGAGAGCAAGGGTGAGAGTGAGGGAGAGAAAGAACGCGAAAGAGAGAGAGAGAGAGAGAGAGAGAGAGAGAGATATGATTAGGAGTGCGCGTAGTCTTGTTCCTGTATGTGTATGTGTGCATGCGAAAGAAATCAGAGCGAGAGAGAAAATGTGAAGAGAAGAAAACAAGCGCTGATCGTGGACGAGCGAACCGAAAATCTCGTGGTAATGAGAGAGAGTGTGAGAGAAAGGGAGAAAATGTAGCGAAAGATAGAAAGAGAGAGAGAGAGAGAGAGAATGACCGTACTTGTGAGAGATTCCGTGATAATACCAAAAGGTTCTTTAACTCACATGGAAAAGAAAAGAAGAAGATAATCTTTTCGTTGCGACATACAACGGGCGCGTTGTTCCTAACGCGTAGCTGCACCCGGTAAACGCACGCTCGACGTCGGTGCGTTCCCATGTGATCAACGAGGTATCGAGACTCCTAGTGTTTTTACGTAAAACGCCGTACACTCGCGCGTGGGTGGATTTCACAGAACGGGCGCAGTTCCGATCGAACGCCGAGGCGCGCCCGAGTCCTCACGGCAACAACAAACGCACTTCCGCTTTCCTCCGTGTTCATCATCAATCGGGAGACCGAGAGAGAGAGAGAGAGAGAGAGGTATAGCACCCACGTCATTTAAACACTGTTGTAACACGTAAATTCCAAAGAAAACGCCGAGCTCGCGAGGGGTGCGCGAATTGCGGCGCTCGTCGGTAATCCACCAGGATTCTTGCGTAATCTTTTTATAGATAGTTTTATATTCCTTTTTAACGCGTAACGGAAAAACATGAGAGAAAGCGAGAGACAGTAAGAGAACGAGCGAAAGAGAGATAGTACGTGTGTGTGCGTGAGAGAGTGAGCAAAAGAGAGAGAGAGAGAGAGAAAGAGATTTCTATAGAGAAAAGAGAGAGAAGAAGAGATAAAGTGCGAGAGAGAAAAGGCGGAAGGTGAAGATAGCGAGAGACGAGATAGAAAAGAACGCTCGCCGGAGAAACGCGCGGAAGAAGAAAAAAAGAGAAGAAAGAGAGTAGTAGTTACACACGTGCGCTACTTTGGACATATTGTTGTTGTCGCGGAATCGCGAAGTGCGATGAATCATGGAGAGAATTATCGAAATGGAATCAGGCGCCCGTGTAAATAGCCGCGTGTATTCGCGCGCATGTGTAGTAGTACCTTAGGAAGGGGGGGAAAGAAAGAGATAAAAACAATTAACGAGAGAGAGAGAGAGAGAGAGAAGCGCGGTTCGCGTCGCGCGAGCCGCACGCGCACGAGTGTAATTTTCCGGAATTTACCTACCTAACTGTGTCCACCCACCTTCCCGCCTTTTCCCACCCACTTATCTACCTAACGTTCATCTACCTACTTATCTACCTAACGACGGTTATGGGAACATTGCGCACAAATGCATATCCTCTGTTCGTTTAACGTAGCCAAGTTTTCCCATCGATGTGAAAGAGAGAAAGAGAGCAGTGCGAAGTTCTCTTTTCGGTCGTTGGTAAGGGTTCGTGTTCATGCGGGACGTGCGAAGCCCGCGGCCCCTTCCCTCGTCTCCTCCACCTCCCGCCGCCCTCCTTGCATCCGCTTTAATCAAAATGCAACAAGTGTCGGCCGCGCGCGCGCGCTCGTCGAGATCGGGTGTCGTAGGTCGCGTCGAATAACCTCGTCTCGCGGAAAACATCCCGCCGAGCGCGATCGTTGACTTCCGGGCCGACGCGAGATGACACTGTAATATATATATATATATATATATATCGAATCGTCGATCAGACGTTAACATAACGAGGAAAGATATCGAGAAGATGGGACGTTTTTTCGTCGGCCGGCCGCGAAGAATCGAGAGGATGCGATATACCCGCGATAGCCGTTGAGCACCGTTCCCAGGTAGAACAGAAAGCGACGGGAAGATGAAATTAAGTGTAAAATTCCATTTTTCATTCATTTCTCATCATTTTCACGTCATCGTAATTTTCTGTCCTACCGTGGCCCGCGGTCGAAAATCGAGACAAGAGGGGAAAGACGGAAAACGTCCCGTCGCCGATTCAGTCGCGAGATTATCGCGATCACCCGATCTCGAGGACGCGATCGCTGTCTCTGCGGGCGATGCGACCCGGTGAACTCTCATTGCGCGCGGCGTCACGCGAGTTGCCGTGCGGATACTCGACTTCTCTTCTGGTTTATTCGTCGGAGAGAAACGGAAAAGCCACAAGAGAGAGAGAGAGAGAGAAAGAGAGAGAGAATGAGAATGAAAGAGAAAAAGCGAGAGAGAGAGAGAGAGAGAGAGAGAGTGAACGAGAGAGAAAGAGAGAGAAAGAGTGTGAAAGAAAAAAAAAACTTTTGTAATCGTAGGCGAGTGCCTCGTTCTCTCGTAGCTGCGAGACTTGTACGTCCTGCCGCGGTGTGTGTTTCTCTCATTTGTACAGATTGTATTTTTTTGGAAAACGTATCGTGGTGTACGCCACCGGGTCGAGTATAGTGTCGAGATATCCGGAAACGCGGCCGGATGCACGGATCGTGTCCGATCCAATTGTCCAAAGAAACGAGTTTTCGGATCATCGGTTAATAATATTATCCTGTATTAGTTGGCCGAGTGTTAACACGGACGGCTCTTGGCGCGCATCCCGACGAAAGAAATTCCGTTCCCCCGCCGTCGTTCGCGCTCTCGTCGGCGCGAGCAAGGAGCGGGCGGGGAGAGTTCCATGCGTTTTTCCTTCTTTTCTGTGCATCGCGATATATCTCCTTATATCCTTGTTATTATTATGAAGTTATACACACGTGTATTCGTGTATTCGTTTTATCATCTGTATCGCTGCTAACGCGTAATAGATTCCTACAATTAGTATTTCCTAAGAGTATTTCGTAATACTTTGAGATACCAAATAAACTTTATATAGGTATATTTTATATAAGTATAAATAATGAGTATAAATACGAATCGCATTTCTCTCCTTTTTTTTTTTTTTACGCATATCGATATCGTCGCAGAATTTGGACCGCTTGGCTTGGGAGTGACGAGAGACGCCGAAGCTTTAAAGACGCGAGCCGAGAGATATCGCTCACGTGCCGCAGACGCCTTCCGTCTGTGTACACTTACGCACTTATACACACACACACACATACACAAATACATGTACATCTTCTGACTTAGTTTGTCATAAATTGTTCCCGAGATAACAAATGAATCGAGGATTCGTGCGATCCGACCCAGACAGCGCGTATCTAAACCAAATGAAAGCAAACGTGTGTTTAAACAAACACGTACCTCGCGGCCGTCGATCGTAAGTGCCAATCCAAGTAGCTGAATTGAACTGAGTTTTGCGGTAAATGTTAAGCAGCAGCTATTAAGAGAAGAAAAAAAGAAAGAAGAAAACGAATATCGTACGTCTGCGTCCTTTCTTTTGATTTTCGGCATTCGCGTCGCGACGCGAGTTCGACTTTCGGCGGAGACGCCGTCGCTCGCTCGCTCGCATCTATTGTTTCTTTCCCGAATCATTGTACTTAGTTCGCGTGACACGCGCGCGTGCGCACGCGTGGATAAACGAAAAGAGAAAGAAGAAACGAAACGAGAAAGAGAAATGAAGGAGAAAAAGAATAAAAGAACACGAATCATTGTGAGAAATGCACAAGGCTCGCAGACCGACCGCGCGTTCCTTCGAAGAAGCGAGGCACGCCTAGGAGACACGACACTCCAAATGCTTGTAAACTGTAAATCGTCATCACGTAGAGCGTCTTTGAACTAAGTACTGTTGACAGAAATAAACAAGAAGTCTAATTTACCAAGTGTCTTACTAAAGTATTCTTACTCCGATTAATACCGGTAGACGACGGACTCACGGGTTCGCGCGCGCGAGTAGAGAGGAGGAGGACGCGCATGTGTGTATGCGACTCGATGTTATAATAATAATCGTAGTAGCGGAGCACTCCGGCAGTCGCAACTCGATCGGAAGTATCGATCTGCAAGGATCCACGTTTGTTTGTATCGTCATTGTTGTAAGGGAAAGAGAGAGAGAGAGAGAGAGGATCTGTCGTACCGTACCGTGAAAATTTACCGTCGTTCACGTGCGCGTGATTCCTTTTGAAAAAAAAAAAAAGAAAAAGAAAGGAAAAGAAAGGTCGAAAGCGAAAACGCCGATTTTTTCTGCGAATTCGGTGAATTTTGCGACGTGTCATCGTTCTGTTTGAGAAAGATATATATATATATATATATATATATATAGAGAGAGAGAGAGGGAGATCGCACTTACGATTACGAGAATAAAATATTCCGTATACGTTGTTTTGCCTTGTCATTGTGTGAGCAACGAGTCGAATCGGACGAGTGAACGTCCGATCGTCGGATCTCCGACCTCGGAACGATTCCCCGCGTTTACGTTGCACCCTCGTCGATCGAGACTCGCGAGAACGGAATCCGCGACGCCGTGTAAAAAGACGCGCCAGTTTCTCTCCGCGTCTTCTCGGCACGGGTCGAGAGACGCGACGAATAGTTTTGTCCCTTTCGTAACGAGGCGTCCCTCTGTGTTTTAATATCGACGCGCGGGGAAACGCGCTGAAAATCCCCGCCGTCCGGTATCTGTTTCCGTTGGAAATTAATACTGATTAGAAACCGCTCGTCTAAGGGGGGGG